ATTGAAGAAAGTGTAGCTCAAAGCTCTAGCTTTGATATAGAGGAAGACAATGCAATTAAAGGATCAAACCTTTCAGACGATACAGGTGCATCTGTTTCTGTAGACCAACCTTTAAACTATGAAGAAAATGGTGTATGCATTAAGAATTTATTAGCAACTTCAACATATATATCACTTTTAGTATTAAAATAAAAAAATTTTAGGACCCATCTAATGCAAATGAAAAGAATCAAGAGAGCAGAGCACAAGTTTTGAAATCTAAGGTTCAGGTAAATTACAATTGGATAACCATATAGTCAAGTCAAAAAAAGAATATTAGTATTGGTTAAAACTGCACTTAGAGAATTACTAATTGAAAAATTAAGGGATATTGAAAACTATATACTGAAACTATATACAATGAAAATATTAAATAATTAAAGAAATCATTACAATATGATAATTCACTATCTTGATGAGTATTCAGATTCGGCCGAAGAAGCTGAAGAACAAAGATTTGACGCATTAACTTCAATGTTGACGAAAAGTGACTCTAGCAAAAAAAAACCAATCTAAAATCAATAAAAAGTTTAATTCTTCAAAGAAAACAAAAACTAATAAGGTGAATAAATATGCATTAACATCATATTGTTTATAGTTAATTGTAGTTAATTGTAATATTTCTAAACCATTCCAAATTAAAGGTTATTTATGATCCTGTTGACAATTACATAGAGCGCATTCCTTCAAATTTGACAGACAATTCTTTACCAAGCATTGACGAAATATTGTTAAATGTTATAATCAAGTTAATTTTATTAATGATTGTTACATACTAACGAAACAATTTCCCGAAGCTACCTCTATTTCAAAACAATAGTTCTAGTAGAAAAACAACTCTTTCACACTCAAATAATGTCGAAAATGATGTAGATGGCGATAGGAATATTAGTAGCAATTATTACCAGCTTGACTTTTTTTTCTTTTAATACAAATATTCATTGCCTAAATTATTATCACTTTAAAGGGTGCTGATATTGGAGTAAGGATCATGTCTTCAATTTCTTCTCATAATGAGGTAAAAGTTCTTATCTATATTTTCAGGTTAATGAAGTGCTACATAATTTGATATTAATAATGAACGATAAAAATTAATAATTTAGCCAGAAGGTGTTAATGAAAATGAAGAATTATCTGATTTAATGGAGTGTGAAGAATGTCACTTTCTTACTCGAAGTCTAAAAATTTCTTCTGAAAAGTTGTATTGTGATAACTGCAAACTCCAAAATCAATTAAATCAAAAGGCAAGAATATTCAAATATATAAATACCCAAACTAAATTTATTAGAATCATATTTTAACTAAATACTTTATTATATTAAAGTCAACCAATATCTCATCAAATAACAATAATGACAATATTAATAATACCACGAGCATAAATTATCTAATCGTATTAATAACAGATCCTCCACCAACTATTTCATTGAATAATGACAAGCAGGTGTGTATAAGGCTCAAAATAACTATAATAGCTTGAGTAGAGATTACTTTTTTCTATTCTATAATAACTAAATATCCTTTTTTTTTATTAAAGGAATTGGCATATGGTAGTAGAATTCCACCAGATTTGTCATATAATAAAGAAAGTAAATATTTGAAGAGAAAGCATGTACAATATACTTCGTCAGAATCCAATTCCTATGGTATGTATTAATTTCTGCATTTATTATAAATAAATTAAATTAAGAAACAATTCTATAACTTTATTTACAATGATTTAACTTCACCTCGAGAATTCTCACCGTCAAATAATGATAATGAACAAGCCAATAACGAAAATTCAGTAAGTATATTTAGTTTAAGAATCTTATTAAAATTTATCTATAATTTAATATGAATCTCGTTAAATTTTAGGACCAAGTATATAATGATACTTTAGCTGAGGATCAAGGGCCCGATGAGGTAAATAAATTTACACTTCATGAATTTGTAATTACTTTGTTAACAATAATCTTTTTAATATTATTATTAATATAAATAAAATTTTATCTCATAAAAGAAATCGAAACGTAAATCTGGCTATGATAATAGAGAGCAGGATAAAGGCAAGCAAAAGGAACTACTTGAATCAAGTTCTGATTCTGAACGTATATGATCAGATTTCAAATGTATAATAAATATCACAAAACTAATAATTCAACCTAAAATTTTTAGAATCAGAAGTTGAAAAAGCTCACAATAAAAAGAAAAAACTATCTTGTGGTATAATATTATAATTGTTCTAAAGTTTTTTTTTAATTTTTTTTATTTATTAACTGTTAGCATCTAAAGAATTACAAATAGGAAATATTATTATATCTACGACATATAGTAATAATCTTAAAGCCCATCAGAATACATAATGAGTTTGAAGAAAATCAGGACTAGAAAAGGAATGAATGATATTTTTTCATCAAACAAAGATCCATCAGATCTGCAAGGAATGTTTTCACAATGTATCGATTTTAACGAAGCTTCAACACCTGTATTATTAGAATCATTGCCAAAGCATTTAAAAAATGGTGAAGATTGTCATAATTACCTTCAAATTTGGAATCTGCACTATGATCAATGCGAAAAAGAGATCAATAACCAGCACACCAAAGCACTAAATCTTATTTACTCATTATCTCAGTTCTTTTTCTTTTTGTTAAAGTTTTGCAAACAAGAACAAGAAAATGAACTAAAGACAAGTCATTAACAAATAGCTGGAAAGGCAGAAATATCAAAAGCCGCATAAACAAAAAAATTGAGAATACAAATACTTGTTCAGTCTTAAAGTTATAGACTGGATGTTGAAGAATTTTTCACATTCTCTGGGTTACAAATATTATACTAAGCGAATTGATCGAAGCCAAGTTATTTGCAAAATATTTTTGCAATGCAACAGAAACAGAATACAATATCCTAATTCAAGCGTTATTAGGAGATCCAAAATTTTCAAAATTTTCTAACCCAAAAGGTGAAGATGTATTAATATTAGCTGATATTGCTGAGAAACTTTATTAAGATAATAATTTTTGTAGAAGTCTTTTTTTTTGCTTATAGCAAATATTTTACTTTTAATTAATTAAAAACTATATATATTAA